ATATATATATAGTATATACACACACATGTAAAATTTACACACTTATTTTTGTTATATCAAGGTCACATTTAAAACATATTGGACATTTTTTTAAATGCCTTTATTTAGCTACTTTTCAAATGATTTATGTATATAAATAAAAAATGTTAAACTACTTTATTAAAATGTGTTTAAAACTGAAAAACTGTGAAAATGAATTATACAGATGTAAATTATTATTTGATTGTGTATAATAAGTGAATAAAATAATTAAAAATATATAAATATAATAATATACAAAATCAATTAAATAAAATGTAATTATCTTTTTTTTTTTTTACAAATTATGACTGTCCCACAGTTGTGGCATCATTTCCATCATGACCAACAATTTGTTTCCTATTTTTATTTATTTATTTATGTTAATATGACAGTGTCAGTGAAAAGCTTGAGAGAATATTAAATATTACTTGTGAAAATTTTTATTAAATATTTCCAATCAAGCTGCTATTTTGCCAAATTTAGCAATGAAAATAAGTGTGTGCATTATTATTATTATTATTATAAATAATAATATTAATAATTATTATTTTTAATTTTACAATAAAAAATAAAAAATTAAATATTATAATAGAAAAAACTATAGAAAAAAACCCCTTAATGGTCCTTATTTTATTGAAGAATTTTCTATAGAATTTCAATTGAACATTCTTATTATTCTTATTTTCATGTGGTGCTGTATCCACGCCAGCATGTGCCTCAGCGGCTGCACTACTGCTGCTCATTTACACTCTCACATGCTTTCAAATTGGTTATCAAAAGAACATGAGTATCTAAAGTGGATTTGAAGAACATTTTTCAAAGAATTTGTTATTTTACATGTATGAAGTCTATCCCAGATTTTAAATCAATGCTGCAAGCTCAACGGAGACTAAGGCTGCTGGCTTCAGTTACACTGAGGCTGTAATATGCATATCCATGGCAAGAGAAAGCATGGAAACGTGTTGCAACGGCAGGAGCTTTATCTCAGCAACACCGCTAGTGAAAGAAAAAGGAAAGTGAGAGAGAGAGAGACAGAGACAGAGAAAGAAAAGCAAGGAAAAAAACCACCCACAAAGCCAGGCTTTGTCTCACCTTTATAAGCCTCACCTGTCTCGTTTCCAAACTGACAGAGACAGACTAGTAAGGTGTGGACTCACAAACTAGCAGAACTCTTTCCACCTTTGACACAAAAATATAACAGCCAAAACCAGGGGGAAATAAAAACAGCAGAATCTGGTCTAATTGCTTGGCTGAATTGAATCACTCAGGTGTTTCTTCAATACTCGCACATTTATGTTTTACATTAATTTTGAATAAAAAAAATAAAATAAAAAAAATAAAATAAAAAAAATAAA